ACACTCCCTCCTTCTTGCGGACAAAGAGAAGAGACGCTCCAAATGGAGATGAACTGGGCCAAATCCAACGCTTTTCGAGGAGCTCGTCTAGCTGAATGCACAACTCCTCTAACTCCTTCGAGGACATTCTATAGACTGCTCCTTTAGTAGTTCTACTGCCAGCCTCTATCTTAATGCGATGCTGGATAGGACACTCAACTACTCCTGAGGGAGGTTCTGACAAATCTGCGTACTCTTCCAACAGCTTGGCAATCGCAGGGTTGGCAGCTTCCTCTTTCTTAGGCTCAGTGACTGGCCTAACGTCAGCCAGAAAGACCTGCTCCTTCTTAACTAATTGAGCAAACACGAGAGCACCGAGACAACAACGTGCCAAGGAGTTGTCTCCTCCTGACACATGGAACAGGCGGGCCATCTTGACACCACCTAAAGGACTAGGAAGCCTACACTCATGCTCACGCAGATGCAATGTGGCTCCTACTGCCTCTCCCCAATCCATTCCTATGACCATATCAGATGGGAGAATATCCTCGACAAGGAGAGTCAGAGAATGGAGAACTCTCTCTACCTTCCCATTTGACTCTTAGGCGAAAATACGTTTGAACTCCCTCGACGTAATCCTCGACTTGCCTGGTGCGATTGTCTACGAGGATACTGACTATGGGCTCTTCCAACTTTTGGACTTTCAAACTCAACTTTAGCTTCTTCAACGCTTTGCGGCTAATGTAGATATGCATGGCCCCATTGTCTATAAGGGCTCCTACTCTACCTCTAAAAACCTCTAACAACAGTTGTCCTTTCCCTTCTCTCTTCATCTTGGCCCAGACCGACATTCTCTGCAAGACCTGCGAGGGAAGCGCCTAGAGAGACTCTAACACAAGCAGTCTCTGGACAACTGGCTAGATGATGGCCAGCAACCTCTGCCGTAGGCACACGTGGAATGGGAGTTTCTATTTGGCGCGCACACTCATCTCCACATGGCTTAGAGGTAAGGGCAATTGCTACCCCTACCGGCGGTTGCCTTTTGCCGACTTTGCAACAACAAAATTTGACGATGTGCAGCGGGTCACCGCAGAACACGCATTGCCAATTATCTATTCGGTCTTGACAATCTTTCTTCTCAACGCCCAAAGATTCCCCGGGTCGACCCTCAGGCCGACCAGGGTGCCAACCACCCATCCTGGGAGTTGATCGATTGGAACGAGGACAGTTCGATGGGGGACCTTGACCCCTGCCTCCCACTTGGCAGTTTCCCCTGCCGCCAACCCCCTGGCCCTCGAAAGCAACAACCTCCCAACTAAGCGTGAAGTACGTCATGTTAGGTGGTTGTTTCTTATCGAAGAAAGGGCCGTGCAGAGTCTCGGGCATGGAGCGATAAAACAACTGGACAAGTTGGGCCTCAATGACCCCATGTCCAAGGAGAGCGACAAGTTCATCCATGGCCGCCTTGAAGGCCCTTGCACTCTTCCACTGTCGCGTATGGACTGTTTGCAGTTTACCAGATGCCCTAAGGCCTCTCTGGTAAAATCTGTAAAGTGTTCACGGAGGACAGACAAAAAATCGCTCATGTTAGTAATGGAGGAGTATGTGACCATATCATTGTCACATTTGGCGGCGCGAGCAAGCGACCTAGCAAAGCTGGCCGCTTCGTCCTTCAATGCCTGAAAGGCCACGAGAACATGGTTCTCATGCATAATGATTTGCAATGTATGTAGGACTTGGTATTGGGAAGAAGGAACAGGAGGAGAAGTTGGCAACAGCAGAAGCAGAAGCAGCAGCAGAAGAAGAAGAGGTGGAGGTTCCCCTTCAAAGGATGTGAGGACTGAAGAGAGAGGGGAATCCAGTGGGTCACGAGAGAGAGAATCGAAGATGGAAAAGATGGTGACCGAGTGGGTGGCCAGCCTGGCCATAGGGGAAGAAGAGGAGGCTATGTTGCTTGTTCCCCAGGCAAAAAGGGAGGCGGTCGTAAGGGAATTGCAAGCGGAGGAGGACCCCTGGCGCCGACAGGCCAAGGATGAGGAGAAGAGGTTGGAGTGGAAGTTGTGCCGTGGGAGAGAGAGGACAAGGCGGTTGGAGGCGGCAGACAAGATGGAGAGAGAGTTAAGGGCGGCTGAAGAGCAACAGGGGCAACTGGGAGCACATGAAAATCTTAAAAGACAGATAGAGCTCTTGTCCCAGAATATGGATGTGATGTTGAGGGCACAACAGTAGTTGCGCTATTTAAGAGGCCGTGATATTGCTTTGTAGTCCATGCGTATAGGATTCAAAGATTTTGCACAAGAGATGATGATGTGTGTGGGCAGAGAAGTGCGCACTGCCATGGACGACACAGAGGTTTTGCACATGCACCATAGAAGGCGCCAAGCTAGCGGCCCCCAAAGAAGAGGAGGCAAGGCCACAGCATGAGCGCATCAAGGTCAAGTTTCCCGAAACCTACGGTGGGAAGAAGGGAGACTTTGATAATTGGGAAGCATCTCCCCAATTCCTCCTCCATCTGCTTCTTCTTCGCCTCCTGCTCTTCCATCAGGGCCAACATCTTTGCCTGCTTAATTAGCTCTCTCTTCTCCATCTTCTCCTTTTTTTCTTTCAGGAGGGCGGCAACTTTCTCCTCCCGAGGCTTACTATATGGGGTGGTACCCGTTCCTGCTCTCGTGGTCACCATGGTGATGGGTGCACAACCAAGTGACAGTTCCACTCCTCACCACTTAGACTTTCCACCCACTGACTGACTGATTGACCGACTCTCTGAAGGACCACAAAGTCTCCTCCTTCGATCCAGGCAGGTTACCACAGTCGAAGGAAGCTTTCGCCACCACTGTCACCGAAACTTTCTAGAGTGCACCTTGCACCAGCGATCAATCCCACCTGGCTTTCACTCTGGATTAGACCCTGTCAACTATGGTCACTAGCCTAACCTACTCTAAAGTCGTCACTACAGGACTTTACTGCTGATCAGGAGGCATTTAAGGAGATCCCCCATAACTCCTCAGGAATTCTTTAACGTCGCAGTCAGGGCGACGTGATCAGCAGAGTCCTCTCAACACTTAAGACAACCGGATGCGCAGCCTACGACTCGGATTTCAGGCCTACCATGCCACACTGCGCAGCCCGCTGGTCTGTACCGGTCCCTAGGGGTCTTGTCCCCGGGACGTGTCAGTCGCCAGACATGGCCTTTAGCCCTACTCAGCCCGTGCAGGTTTGGTCACCACAGCCCTACGACCACACGCACAGAGTACTATCACGTAGACAGAAGTGACTCAATGTAGAAAGAAGAGACGTCTCTCTTCCTCTGTCGTCGTCGTCTTCCTCTTCAGTGCTGGTTCGATGGCTACGGCCGCCCTCTTCAACTTCGCACCACGGCTCTCTTCTTCGACGTGGCAGGTCTCTCCTTCGCAGCGGCCTTCCCCAGCGGCGGCTATCTCCTTCTCGGCGCGTGGCAATTTCTTCGTCAACGGCGAACCTCCCTTCTCTCGGTGGCCTCCTTCAATGCGCGGAGCGGTCTACACCTCCAACGTGGCGATCTCCTCGCGCGGTGGCCCCTTCCTCGACAATTGCGGCGCGTGATAAAGCACAGGCGCGTGTGACTATGACGGCCGCGCGTCAACAACACGCAATAGCAACTGGCGCTCGCAGCTTTGTGTGCAATGGCGTGCGGCTAGCAGTGGAGCAAAGCGGGAAACTGGTGTGCGATTTGGCAGCGACGCACGCGGCAGTAACAGTAGCAGCGCGCAAATCAATCGGCGCGGAGCGGCAGCGGGGCGCATGCAGGGACGGCAGCGCGCAGTACAGGCGCGCGATCTCGCAATGCACGCGCGGTGCTAACGTGACGCATGGGCGGGCACCTCTCCTCCTCCTACTGACATGGCGCCCTCCTCTTCACAATGAAGACGACGGGTGATGCGGGACAGCGGGAACCAGCTCTGATACCAGTGCAATCAGACTTGTCTTCTGCGACACTCAGCATGCGTGCAAACAGCTGACGATCAAACCTGGCGCACTTCGCCCACAGATAAACGTGGCCAGGAACACAGCTCAGATTCAAACTTGTCCGGATGGCTATGGCGCAGAGCGCCAAACAGAGATTCCCAACCGATCAACTGTATCACCCAGCAACTTACTCACACACACGCACACACTCTGGATCACCCTGAATGTCCCCCACACACACTCAACACACACATCTACTAACCTCCTAACAGACAGCTATGGCTTTCATCTACCTCCTACTACTAACTGGCGGCTCTGGCCACATCTTCCTCCTCTTAGCCCACTTCCTCTCCGGGCACCTGCAGACCTCCGTTGCACAAGATGCACAGACAGCGCTTCCGCACGGCTCACAGGCAGAATGAATGAATAGTTTGAGGCTGCCTCTTTATTTATACTTCGGACTGTCACAGGTCTGCCCTTTGACCCTGGGCCCGGGATGTGCAAAGTCCCACATGGTACTTGTTGACTGGACAAAGTGCACCTTGGGACCGGGTACTGCTGACTGGACTAGGTAGATCTAGGACTGCCCTTTGCTGACTGTACTAGGACTGCCCTCTGTTGACTCAGACGTGGACTGACTCTAAGACTCACAAAAGGCCACTTCCGGAAGTTCCTGAAGGTCGTGGACTTGACCTTTCGGAACTGCAGAGCTACGGCCTAAGCTACCACTAAGACCTCTAAGACTCAGACCTACTGTTCATGACCCGGCGACCGCACTATATACAACAGCTGAACATACAACTTTCAGAACACAAGTCGCGGGTCAACGGATACTGTACATGGGTAAGGGGGTGATCTAGGGCTCGAGCCCTGGGTACTGCATTTGCTACCGTAATAGCTGAAAACCATTTCAGTATCCCTACTGTAGCAAAGCCTGACAAAAAACATCTAACAAAGATGATGGGTGGTTGCAGGGGTGCTCTGACAAACATCTGATTCCCCTTGGCCCATTGAATAGAACTGCACATGCCACATGCACAGCCACAGAAAGACGATGAGAGGAGCTGGATGCATACCTCACCCATTGCAGCGTCGGTAATCTCTGCACGTGTTGGAGTGCCTGTCTTTGCCAATCTGTCAAGAACCTGTGTTGCCCAGATCACAGGAACATGAGCAGCCTCACAAGCCCAAAGGATTTCCTCTTGAATCTCTGCCATCCGCTCCCACCCACACTCCGCTGCTAGGTCTCCGCGAGCAATCATAACGCCGAACGGATTGGCAGTTCTCATTGCTGTTAGCAGCATCCAGGGAAGATTGTCGAATCCCCTGTTCGTCTCGATCTTCAGCACGATCCCCTTCTTGCTCCCGGAGCGTCTATACAGTTCCCGCTGCAGTGCTGCTACATCCTCCGCGTCATTCGCAAACGAGAATCCCACCATATCCGCATTGTCTGCAATGAAGTCAAGATCCCTTACATCCTTCTCGACCAGGCCCTTCAGTTTCAACTTGGTCTTCGGGAGATTGATGCCTTTATCAGCTCGGAGCTTAGTTCCCTTGGCATCTGCATTTTCGATCTTTACGACAATCCTATCGTGATCAATTTCCTCTATTATCCCTTTGATCCGACCGTCATCCAGTAAGATGGGATGCCCCCTCTCCGCACAGTCAAAGACCTCCTCCACGGGACATGCTATCTGCCCTGGTCTCTTCAGTTCCTTGGTAACGGCGCAGCGAACCTCGGGAAAACCGGGACTCAAGTCTCGCGTCAGAATGAGTATGTCACCTTTCATAACAACGATTGGATTGTCTGCAGTCTTGAGCTGTTGCACTATAGCCGTCTGAAGCACTCTTCTCCTGTGACCCAGATCGCTCTCTTGCGTCTGTCCCTTATCCCCAACACAACGCTGGTCCCCACCACATGATGTTAACGCTGATGATGTTGACAGCAGGTTTGACGAGGCGATGCCATCATCGCCTTCCCGGGCAAGCAATCTAATTTCCGAGCCCGACTCCAGGATTGTCCTCCTCTGACATTGCAGAAAGCACCCCCCTGTCCGAGCGGAACGTGCTCCATCAACGTTACCGTCACGGTCAACTTCAACGACTGTGAGTATGCGGATCTTCCCTCGAGCATCCTGCACCTCCAGCACGTCTCCAATCTGCAACATGCTGGGAAAGTCTTCAGGGAGAACAGGAACACAGGCATCACATGGTTTGCCGCGTGGCACGGAGACCTTTGGTGGGGCCAACCAGATAGTTGCTGGAGCGATTTTCTTCCCAAGGGCATCTTCTTTGGGTCCGAAACTAACCACACGTGGGCCTGGGCTAAGGGGTCCGGTCCTGAGCTTTGCACCTCCCAGGTCCATCAGGATCTTGCACGACTTCTTTAGCTCGCGACTCTTCTCACGCACGTTGTCGGCAATCTTTTTCCACACTGTGTCATCATCGTATGCGCAGTTCACGCGTGCGACATTCATCCCGCTCTTCAGCAGGTCGGTGATCAATTCAGTGTCATCCTGTGCCTGGATCGGAGAATACCACACATGGAATAATATCCAGCACTCGCTCGATTATTGTCAGACAGATGTAGCCTTATGATGAACGAGTTGTTACAATCAGACTTGTCCTCTCATGTTCCCAATATCATACCCTTCAAATCCCACACATCTGATTCAAATTATGTTGAAGGAAAAAAACACAGCATTCTCAAGACACGCATCTGTTGTGGATTCATTGCTGAAACGACAAACTTATGCCTTTCCCTGCTTTGAATTTATTCCAAATTCCCTTTTTGATTGAGATGGGAGGGGTTTGTTTTTTCCGAATACACTGTCCGAAGGGAGCAAGAAAACAAAGCATTGGCGGCTTCCCCAGCCTTAGGGTCCAAAGTACAGGTCTCAAAAGTTTCCTCGAATTTGTTCTTTGAACTTCTTTCTGTTTTGACAGGAAGTAAAATTCGCGGCACTCAGGAAAATAGGAGGTGCAGAGTCGTGATCTGGGGACGTTAGCGCTGCATGGGTAAGTGCTCACGCGATCGCGAAACACAGCGGCAGACAAAGAAACGGAGGGGCAACCAACATCAACGCACATGGTTGTACCGTCCCGCAAGACCAAAGCGGCGCGAAGGCAATGGCAAAGCAAGTGTGGGTGTGGTAAGGGAGGAGCAATAGGCAGAGGGTGAGGAGGAGGAAGAGGAGGAGGAGGGAGAGGAGACAGCAGGTCGAGGTGTCATTATACCTCAAGAGAGCCCTGAACAGAGGTATCCTATCCCAAGGTGCCTAAAGGAGAACGCGTGACTTAGGAGATGATCATGTCACTGGTGAGGAGCATGGATGAGGCCGTGAGGTAAATATACCAGAACTTCTCATCTTCCCTTTCTTGTCCTAAGGAAAACACACACACACATACACACACAGAGGAAGGGCCAAGAATTCGCAACACCAGAGAGGGAACTGGATCGAGTATCAACACAGCACCAAAACAAAAACAATCATCGACTAAGGGCCTTGCTCCACCCACATGCAAGAAAAGACAAATGTTATGGTGAGTACCTTTGCATGTTCTACTAGAAGATGCATTCTCATTTCCCACATTTGGTCAGTAGTGGAGGGAGGCTCAGAGCCTACTTGAACACTGAGACAAGGATTCAACAAAAGAGAATTCCACCCTACGTTGTCTATCATTGGACCGCCACTTTGTTCGATGGAATGTCCCGATGCTATTTTCCTAATTTAGCAGGTCAAGGAAAAGCGAAAACAAAAGTTGTTTCCCCCAAGGTCCTGGACTCGGTCTTTTCGTTTCTTGCTCCCTGCAGTGCCAGTCGGTTGCGAGCCTGAAAAAGCAGAGAGAGTTTTTCAGCAATTTCAAACCCGCCACCAGACCTGCGGAGCCCCATTCAGCGAAGCCCAGGCAGGAAAGAAAGTGAGGGGAAGGGAGGCACACAAGACGCCCACACAGGAGGAACTCAAGGCACCTCCCACACCAACTCTCCTGAACAGCATGCATATCAATGGTAACCTGAATTGAAGCGGATTCAACAAAGCAATAATCATGCCAGAGCAAAAGCAGACAACGTTCAAGTCCCTTGATGACTCCCATCCGTCTTATAGATCTAAGCGGGAAGAGCGGCCAGGACAACGCTGGCCGGAGCCGGGGCGAGGTTGCAGTACCCTGTACCCTGTGCATGTTGGGGGTGTGAGGCCTAGTAGAGAGCTTGCACTGTGAACACATGGCTGCACAGGCGGGGTTTCCTTTTTGGTCTGTTGGGTAGCACTTGGGTATCTTGGTATTCGACATTTTTCCTGTAGACTTCCTAAACTACTCAGATAGTTCCTAAAAGCTCTATATGTTTTCCTAAAAGCTCCATATCTCTTCCTAAAAGCTCGATATGTTTTCCTAAAAGCTCCATATGTCTTCCTAAACACTCTATATGTTTTCCTAAAAGCTCTATATGTTTTCCTAATAGCTCTATATGTTTTCCTAAAAGCTCTATATCCGGGTAATGGCCTCGGTGCCTCAATGATTTGTAAACACTTCATAAGGGACGCTGGGTACGTATCCGAGCGTGTGCTGCTCCCCAGGAATAGATTGGACCAATGCTTTCAAAGAAAAAAAGAGGTCCCGTTGAGGCTTAAGCCACCAGTCCACCCGGCCCTGGAGGCACTGCATTGCGTGCCAAGCTTTTCCGTACCGCCAGCGGCGCACTTCTTTCCTTTTTTCGCTGGCGCTGCCAGGCATGTTCTTAGCCAAAGCTGGGTAATGGTGCCGGTGCCTCAATGATTTGTAAACACTTCATAAGGGACGATTGGTTCGGCTCCCAGCATGTGCTGCTCCCCAGGAATAGATTCGGGAAATGTTTACAAGATAAAAAAAGGTCCCGTTGAGGCTTAAACCACCAGTACACCCGGGTGTGGAGGCACTACACACTGTGCCAACCTTTCTGAACAGCCAGCGGCACAGTTATTTTCTTTCTTGGCTGGTGCCACCAGGCATTGTGGTTGGGCAGGCCTGAGGCACAAAATTTTCGGAGTAGCTGAATAACAAATCTCCACGAGGCTGGGGCCGTGTGCTAGCAGTTTAAAGGGGGGGAGGGGAAAGCATGGGAAGTGATTCAGTAGGGAAGGCTGTTCGTTTGGCTGCACAGGATGCGACCTATTTCATCTGAGGTGTTTGACGGACTGAGGAGCGCGTTCATGCCCCATGTTTACGGTTCTTGGTGGGGCTTGGTCAGACCGTGGGATTCGGTGGCACTCTTCATGGGGCGGCTGGGTATTCTGACAAATGTGTTTCGGGCCCTGCAGCTGCCTTCCTTCCCCTGGCCCCGGATGCTATCTGGTCAGCACAGCTTGTTCTTTTAATTGTTATAATTTGCTTGCCAATGATGACAAACCGGACTGCCACCCCCCCAGAATAGATGGGGGCTGTGTGTTGTTGTGGAAAAAAAAAGGAGGAATAAAGAAACCCCCCCTTTCTTGCCACCAATCAATCAACACGACAACGATAGTAGCAGTTCTTAGCGCTTGCTGGTCTCTCTTCAAGCATCTATGGCCATCTACTCTATCCGCTACCCTAGGCTATACTACACCGTACACCACGCCGCAGAGTCCTGTTCCGCTACCCCCGTTGTCCACTTGACAAACTTGTCATGCTGGAGCTTCTTCTTCACCTCCACCTACCATCCCGTCCTCTCCTACTGCCCTCATCCTCCTCAACGATCTCCTTCCTATCACCGTCTCCACACCTCAGTCCCGCACAGCTATGGCGCTCACCTCTTCCCTGGCGCCATGCAGTTATGGCACTGGTCAGTGGTTACCTCTTTTCTCCGTGCTCCACAGCTATGGCGCTGGCCCATCCTCACCATGCTGGCCTCTTCCAGGAGCAGAGCCATTGACTCCACTCTCCAGCAGCCTGGTGGCATCCTCTGTCTCAGTAACATCTTGGCCTGCCTGGCCTTGATCTGGTCTCATTGAGCTGGTAGGTACTGCCTTCTGGAGTCTTTCGGGGTCAGTCACACCCTACCGGGCCCAGACAGAACTACTGGATCCTTTCTCGGCCCAACAGGTCTGAGCCCCATTTGACCCATACCCAGGGCCTAGCATCACTGCGCTTGCTGCCCTGAGGGTCATGGGGCCTTGAGGAGGCAAAACCGCTCCCGAGATGATCCTGGATGCAGGAAGGATGCTAGGAAAAAAGTTTAAACCACCAGTACTTCCGACGCAATTTTCCCCGGGGCAGAAACACCCTGTGCGCCAAAGAAAAACGAACCAGCGTTGGCCTCCTTTTGGCTGGCGCCGCCAGCCATTTTGCTATGGAGGCCGAGCCCCGAAAGTTGCAGCTGCATGCAAGTGGCATATTTTATTATTTGGCCAGGAAACGAGTAATGAGTAGCGTAGGACCGGAATGATTAGGACTGGGAGGGTGAACGGAGAACGACAAGGGAGGAAAATTTCAGACCTAGCAGTGGGCAGAGGAACCAATCTCACTCAGGGTTGCGAGGGATAGTCCCAAACAGCCACACCTGCAGGAGGTAGATCTCTGTACTCACAATTTAGTACTTTAATTCATTTGTAATTCAATGTTGGCATTCCTCATTCTCGAGATTACACTGGGCAATACAGGTTGATTGCCGTTCATGCATGGAGCACCCAGGCAAACAAAGCATGTACCGGCATGTCACTCACGTGCCAGGGGCGAGCAGTGGTGTGCAGAGGGCCTAAGTTCCAAAACACTGAAAAAGAAATACCGTTATTTAAACTTATTTTTGCTTTCTTTGCGCATCCGGAACTGCCGCTGCGACCAAACTGCATTTAGTGTTTTCTTTTTGCCTATTGGGAACTCAAACTTCAAACCTTGACAGCGTTACAGTTTTTTGCATACGGTGGAAAGACTGGCACAACTAAGAAGCAGGGTGGAGAAGGCAGAGATCCCAGCCAGCAGATGAACAGGATCCATCACAGGCCACGTAATATTGAAGGGCAGATTCAGAGATTGCATCCTCCGTAGCTTCGTTTACCTTTCTTGCACTTTATCATTTATCTGACAGGTTCATGCAGTGGACCTGAGAGGAAAGGTGGAAGTAAGGCAAGCTGACAGTCAATCCTCCACGGTGCTGGAGTAATCAATGCTGGTCAGGGTTTCTTCGGCCAGACGGAAGGAAGCGTGCGTTTCATGATGTAATATTTTATTCTGACTTGGCAGTGGAATAGGAACCGAAGTCATGCTCCCCAGAATGGAATGGGCCATAAGGACCTGTTTTATGTATAGAAAAACTTCAAAAAAGGAAAAAAGAAAGAAAGAAAAAAAAAAGAGTCTTCAGGAAAATAAAATCTTCCCACTAAGGCTACACCACCATCCAACTCCTACACCCCCTCCATCAAGACTTGTCACTAAAGAAGCACCATCTCTTCAGCAGCCTGCCCTCCTACCATCCTGATGGCTTTCTCTATTAGGCAAGCTATCGTCATGCAGTCCCGCTGTCCCTTACCCAGACTTCTCTATCAGCCCTCAAACTCCCGTCAGCCAT